AAAAAACAACTCTAGAAACAAAAAAGAAACTTTGAATCCATCTAAAGATAGAAACAAAGCACTTGCAAAATAGAAAGTGCAAAAACAATTATGGCAAACAAACACCGTTAGACAAATTCCTCAATAACCAAAAATAGCAGAAGAATAGAATGCCGGACACGACTCACACTTCTAACATGTGAAATAGCGAATCAGTTCCAAGAACGAAACCACTACGCTTACCACTTAAATTAAACAAGTGCACTCGCAGATTTTAGAGGAAATGGGAATAAGCACTGCTGGTCAGTGGAGGATATTGCATGGAAATATCAGGTAAAGAAAAATATATCTTGTGCTGCGTCTCGTAAAGTCACCAATAAGATAAATTTTAAACTCGTACAGCTTAGCTACAAATAAGAATACCACTTTGTTCTAAAAAGCAAAAAGTTTCGAGATTTCAAAGTATTATGTTGCAGTAAATCGTAACATCCCTTCCCGACACCCTCTAAAACTGAAACAAAGAACGAGCAAACCAAATCAGTGAAGTCCAAAATCATCTAAAACTGGACCCAAGCCAATTGAACAGTTATGCTCAATGGTACGAACTTTTTAGTAAATATTTTTACAAACAGTGGGAAATCATTTAGTTCTCTTGAGAAACCTCGCAAACTGTATCATAACCTGTGTCAGACCAACTCGAAACCGGAACCCTCTTATTCAACAACAGATAGCTGGTCGCTCACCTCGGACACGCTAACTATCTGAGTACACTTACTGTTCCATACCAAAGACCGCTGTAAGTGTTACGGGTTCTCACCAATTGCAAGCACCGTTAAGGTGTGAAAAGAAGCTGGCAAAAATTTATGAAGACCTTAATAACGCTCATATATATAACTGAAAAAATATAAGCGAATAAAACCAGTGTTTGCTAATACCCTCTTACAATATTTTCAACATCACTATACGAACCTTTTCGTTATGTGAGTTGCATTTCCGTTCTAAACGCAATTGCAATTTAGTGCATTAAGCTCATAAAAGTTTTTTATTCCAAGGGAAATTTAGATTCAGAAGGTTGAAGAACGTCTGAAGCGTAGAACAACGGGAAACTACAGATTTGAAGTGCCCAAAACTTGAACTTCGATTGTAGATAGTTAAGAAGCGCACAGAATTTCTAATCTAAAATAATTCAACAAAACAGTATACTTAGTATAAGAAAATAAGAAATGAATTAGATTTGTCGCAAAGAAAAAAAAGTGAAAAGTTTTTGGATGGGCGCACACAGTAGTAGCGCCTAGTTGTACCTCCCGTTGCCAAATCTGTTAAAACTATGTTGCCATTTTCATAATGTATTTGAAGGTTAATGATTGTAATGTCCAACTCACTGAAACTCTCAAGAGCTACACGAAAACACGTAATTTACTATGCTTCACGAAGCCTTACACGTTCGTGTTAACTTTTCAAATTTAAATTTTGCTCCCGTTTTTCGCTTTGATCGCACAAAGCCTTCACAGCAATCACTCGAGTTATAAAAGACATTTCCAAACCAGTCCTTGGTTCTTTCTTCAGCTGCTCAAAAACAAGCTCGCACCAAACTTTTGTTGTCAGTAACTATTTGCTTTTAGCGTCTTTAGAAGACGATAATTCTCCAAGTGCAAATTAGCCATTCAAAGCAGGGTTCATCGAAAAGTTCAGTAATGGAAGAGTTTGAAAACCAAAGTAGTTCACAAAATTATGCTGTAAAGTTACAAGATTCCCATGTTCTGCAAATACCAGCTGAAACCTCCCAGGAAATGGTCCAATACTCATCCAAAACTCCTATTTAACAGCCCTCACAACAGTCCTCATCTCTAGTAGCACAGCAAATTTTTCCGGGAGGAAAAATTGTAGCTTTTAACTTTTGGCAGCATACTTCGCTAAGCAACTGCTGATGGATCAACACTGCTCACTTTCAACCTAAGTGAACGGAGGGAACGCTGTAATTCATACTTGCGCATGCACTTCCGGCGTAACCGGAGAAATTAATAGCATTTATATACGGCGATCATGAGGAATTAGCCTTCAGAAATGCAAAAGGACTAGGCGAAATGTAACAGTGACATCGTTCTTCCACGAAGTAGCACTGTACAGAAGCGAAAACTACAATTTTAAACTCTTAAAAACCTTAACCTCTTCGCGCTCCAAATTAAAAAACGAAAAAAAGCAAAGTAGCAGACTGGAACCCTTCGCACTTCAACTCTGAACTAACAACAAAACAATAAACTAAACAATTTAAAACTTAAGCAATTTGAAGAACCTAGCCAGAAAGCATTCATAGATTACTATCAAAATTTATACACAAAAACGGCATTGCCCTGCGATTGTGTTAACGATCCGCAGAGACGTAAACACCGAACAGTTAGCTGATTCCTGTGGCAGCAGTGAAGAGAGCCATCAGAAAAGAAGACAACTGTGGCCTAATTACATTACTTTATCTTATTTAAAAATAAAATTCCTTTTGCAGCATGAAGAATAAGCACGAGAGATGTACCTGATAAAATTAGCAATAAACACTACCATTTAATCCAAGATCCAAAACCTCGTCAAGATCAAGCATACATTATTATAGTCGACTAAAAATCTTAAACTGTGCGGGAGACACTATACATATGAGTCTAAAACAACTATACGTGCACCAATCATAAATCAAATTTAAAAAATCCGGATACCACCTAGTGGTACCAAAAATTAGCAGAAACAATGAGCAGCAATAATGAAAAACATTGGTAGCCACAAAACCCACAAAATAAAATCAAACTGTGATAGCGATAATAATAGCAACATAAAAAAAAATGTATTAAAAACGACAATTTCAGGCAGTTCCGAACTAAAACTATCAGAAACTTCTGACCAAACTTTACCCTCGTTTAAATAAATAATAGCTCTAGAAAAGTAGAAAACTACAATTGAACAACTTATGTTGTTTCTTCAGAAATGCCAATCAAACTGAAAGAACCATATTATATTAAAAAGCTCAAACTCCAGGCAAAAGACGACTTAGCAAGCATTTATTCCGCATAGAAATACCATGCATAAAAAGGTCATAAATATGACCTAATCCCCGTATCAAAAGAGTAAATATTAAGCGAGTCTCATGACACAAAATAAAACAAACAAACTGTCAGTTCAAAACTACTGGAGCTCAAGAATGACATCCAGGGAAACGTCGAGCTATAACTTAGATATTAACACAAACCCATTACAACCAGGATACCTCTGAAACTGCATCTCTAGCCAACGTCGAAACGATAAAACATCGCTTTCGCTAAATTTTATGATTCTTCCTTCACCACTGCACCAATTCCCAGAGAGCTGTAGCGGAGAGTTACGCCCATAAAAATATGAATATAACGGAGAAGGTGCACACTGGTTTCCAAGCACCACTCGTTTCCGAGACAAGCAAAACAGAAGTGTCATAACCAACTCGGAAAGGAACTGAAATTTCATATTCACCTATTAGGAGAAAATGTCACTTTTCGTAACCATGAAAAGAATTCATAATTGAAAGGCAGTAAGTAAATGCAACAAAAACGTTAACTGCATAAAACGTTAACTTTTTTTTCAAACAGGCTATAGGCATACTTTGTTAGAAAGATTAGAAGGCTGCGTTAAGACGTCCTCCACAACAAAAGAACAGAATATCACGACAAGTTTGTCTTCCGAAAGCTGCATAAGGTACGAGATGAAAGCCGGTGCGACCGAAAGAAGCAACTAAAACGAAAGAAAAAGAGAAAATCCTGAGGTAATAACAAAAATAAAACACTGTAGAACCAACATCTCTTTCTGAAACTAAACATCATTTTCTTTGTTAAACTTTGGCACCAGAAAGTTAATAAAAAACGAAATTTTTTGGAGACTGATTCGACAAAATGGCAGTCTCGAAAATTAGAATAAAATAATGACTGCACAATAAAAGAATTAGTCCATGTTGAGAAACTTTACCTCATCTTCCGGAATCACTTTTAAAGTTGTTGACAGCGACTTTGATATAAGGGCTTCAAACAACAAGAGCTGTTGAGAGCTATCCAATAAACTGAACGTTCGCACCAACATATGCCGCCCCTTATTGAGGCTTAAGATTTTCGGAAGTCTTTCACTGCACATGCATTTAGACAAAGAGTCTAACCGTGACTTTAGTTCCTCGTCAAAATGTTCCCTAAAATACGACAAACCAAATTTAAAAACCAAAATAGCCCTAACATTAAGACACAAAGACTGCTTTAAAAATGAGCAATTTCGAGCAGCACAAAGTGTAAGCTCTAAAAAAAAAAAACGCAAAATCTTTAGCGCAGTAAGAAATGGCTTCTATTATAAAAAATGATACCTCATTTCATCGGCCAGAGCTGCAGAATTCAAATGGCGTTTGCAATCTTCACACTCTAAAACGTATGCAGCAATGTTTTCAGTCAACATTAACAGAGCACGGAACCTCTTTTGGGAAGAAACCTTGACATTTGCTCGGTCGTCATCCTCACTTCCATCATAACGCAAATCTATTAACTGAAAATCTCTTTGACATCTTACCCAGTAAACGTAAAGAAATGCAGCAATCAACATATGCTACATCGCAAGAAAAATATAAATTTACAGCGCAAGCGAAGCAAAGCGCATGGTATACAGTTTACAAAATCTAAATGTGAAGAAGCATTATGTCAGTGTGAAGTATAAAGGTATCACCAAAAACAGGAAAATAAAGCATCTTCTCACTATCATAGTACAAATGCCCCACTTCTCACTACCTGTCTTGGATTATTGACAGTAGACAAGGATGGCTTCCCAAGGCTTCCAACAAAAGTCGGTGGTACGTAATGATTACCACTTCCACCAGCTGCACGCAGATCGCACTCAGCTTTTTCAGAAACCAATTCGTTCGAACTGTTCTTCAATGACAGTTTTCGTTCTTTCCATGTCTTCAATTGCATGCTTTTTAGAAAAAAACATTTTAAATAAATGGTTTTGAAGGCGTTGAGACTAATCTATTACAAACATAAAAAAGTAAATATCAAGTAATACTTGAATAAAACAGAGACCGAAGCCTTAGTGGAACTTAAAGTACCGTGTAATAATAGTCATCGTCGTAGGGGTTCCCTGTGCCTTGACATTGAAGTAGCTGTATCTTAATAAGCCACTCACGCTCCTTTTTAGACATAAAGCCTGCATAAGGATCAAATGCAAAATCAGATATCGTTTTGATTGATGGTAACCTGGTTTTCCTGAAATGCGGCTCGCGGTAAACAGCAGTCTTTCCCCCTCCGCTGCTTTGATTAGGAGGATAAAAAGGCCCACGGGGTGAAACTGGGGAACGTATATGATTCATCCTAAAAAGCTGTTAACTTAGAGCAAGAATCAAACAAAAAAAATTCTCCTCTGAAAATACAAAAAAATAAATAAATAAATAAGTACTAAATATACAAAATAGAAAGGCCTCACAACCTTGGACGATTTGGTTGCATCGCAGATGGAAAAGGTGGAAAAGGAATTCCAGGCATCTGATGGGGTACAGGAAAACGGAATCCTCCCATCGCGTTTGAATTCCGAGCCATAGTTTCGAAAAAACCCATCGGCATCTGAGGTGGCATAAGTGGAAACCCAGTAGGATTCTCCATCAACTGCCCTACCATACGAGCTGAACAACTTGCAAAATTACATTTTTCAATTCAAAACTGTACACTCGAATGGAACTTTCCCACAGAAAAATTAAAAGAATATGAGAACTTCAACTATGAAATAAACCTCTTAAAACGCTGAGCATGAATGGAGGCATCATGGGACGAACGACTGGGAACGAAAAAGGCATCTGAGGAGAAAGCGGAAACTTAGGCGCCACAGGAGGCTCCATTTCTGAAGTTACATTGACTTCCAACGGCTTTGGTTCTTCTTTCACTGGCGGTGCTGATGTTAAAATTTGCCTTTCAAGGTCTTCTAAAGCAATCGCACCTTCTAAAAAGATCACAAATTGGAAAAGTTTAGGACGAAAAAATATAAATGTCTCTTAACAACATACGTGGTACTCCCGGCAGTTTTTTGTTCTTCATTTCATTAAGCTGTTGCCTTTCCAACTCCTCTACGGTTACAGCATTCCTGGGAAATCCGGCTAAATCAGGCTTCTTTGCTGACAAAGCTGCCGAAGCAGACTAAAAAGTGAAATTTTTTAAAAACAATTTCTGTAAAAATTTTTGCACATTCACTTCAACACAACACAACGATTATTGAAACTCACACTGTTGTTAAAGTTGTCCTCACTTTTTATATTCATATAAGAACTACTGGCAGCTCCGCTATCTCTGTTATTGATGAAATCTAGGGCGGATCTGGTGATCACTGAGGATAAACCCGGAGTTCCCCATATAGAACTATCTTTGTTTTTGACATTGTTAGCAAATAAGGAGTCCACAGTGCCCTAAACAACTGACTTTTATCAACCCTCAAGCTTAAAAAAATGACACAAGCAGATATTATTCAAAAGCCGTTTATCTCATGGCTGAAAGAAAAAACCGTATAAATATCACAATTAAGTGTAAAAAAATGTTCTGAATGTTAGAGAAAAAAATAATATTGCCGTACAAGATTGAGCTCGTACGAAGACGGGTATGGTACGTCGTTCGCTCCTGAACCAGAATAGGAATAATAAGAATTCGTGAACATATCTGAAACTGAGTCGAATGTCGGATCTGGCAATTGGGACGGATCGGGAGCACTGATGGAACATGATGGCTCATTTTCCCAGTCGGCCTCGTAATCGTCCAATTTTAAGCCAGCAGTCTGAAAAATATAGGAAATATATGAATGAAAAAAGATCATATAATCTAGAACAAAACAGCGAATCTCTAAAAATCTAAAACGTACTTGTTTCGAGTACACCTCCAAGTCGTCGAAGTCAGCACCACTTATATCCTCCCCAAAGGTCTCTGTATTGATAGCATCTATCTCTTCACATGGAGTAGGGCTCCTTTCAATTTCCTAGTTTAAAACAGAGACATTTAAACTATAGAGTATTAGAACAGGAAGTAAGAAAAAACAAAGAAAAAACTGCATGAATCTACAATAAAATAAAAAAAAAATTGAATTTCAGCCGCAATGCGAATGTTCCAATAGATAACCCTGAACTGCCACTAAAATCTTTGTGCACCAGCGATTCTGCTGCAGAAACTTTTTAGGATAAAACGAATAGTGCTGATGAGGTTCAAAAGTACTGCTGTGTACACAGAAAAATCAAAGAAACACAATTTCCTAAGAAATTATATGAAACTGCAAATACTCCAACTGCGAATTTGACTGTCTCCAAATACCCACCAAATTTCTGTAGGCAGCGTTCTAAAAACCCCCTGTTGTCCCCTCCAAAATTCTTTCTGAGAGATGCTTTTTTAATGATGTTAAGCAAATTTACTTCTTCCAAGGGAATGCCGAAGGTAAAATCCTCGTCTTCATTACTCATACAATTCGGCCTTAAGCCATTTAAATCCAATCGTGACATCGGATGTTACTGGATTAGTTGTTACAAAGTATACAATAATTGAATTAATATTAGTTCATTACTGAAAAAAATATATATATACTGAGTTCAATATCACAATCAACCCGTCAACACGAACTTACCGAATCGAACAACTCAAAAATTCTATAAAAATAAACCAAAAAGCATTGATTTGAAGCAATAAAAAATCGGCACTAGAAATCAGGGGACTATCCATATCTTAAAAAAGGGTCAACATAGTTAAAAGTGTAAACGACATATGCCTAGAATTAGTTATATGACAGCAAAAAAACTGCTATAACCTTCGAAACATATCTATAATTACTTAAATTGCTCCGTGATAATGTCAGCCATTGGTTTGATATGAGTGAGAACTTTTAGCTACAAAACTGTGCAACAAATATGGGCCAAAACTATAAACAAAACCCAGAAAATTCTAGACTGTCTTTTAATGCTTATTGTACTGTACGTAAACGGTGTTTAAAATAATGATGATCTATCACGGTTAAAAAATTTGTTGGCGACAGTACGTATGGCCTGTGGTATCAGTCCGCCAAGAGACAAAGATACTTTTTTAAAAATCGCAAGGACTAGAAACATACACAGAATGTCCGAAACGATAAACCACTACACTTACACTTTCGATCTCAATGACCATTCTTGTTTGTTTTCCACTCTTTACCGACCTGCTTTATTACCAAGACGCCGAAGCAGCGCTCAATAAATTTTTATTGCTGTTGACTAACTTTTGAAACGACATATTTAGTTTTGAACCAACAAGGCTAATGTTTTAGAAAACAGCGATTAAGCGAACAACTGTCATAAGTTCTCATCTGTAATAGCAAAAACTGCGAAAGAAGTACAAATAAAAAGGGCCAGACACTCGGAACTGTGACCAAAACTAAGTGGCTAAAGAAAATTTTCAACAGCGGCAACTGGCAGAAATAAGTAAAAACTAAGTCAAAGAACAAAATACAAGGTAGTCCCTTCAACTACGAAAAGAAACAAACATATTTATACATTACTGGACTGAAGGACATCAAAATTAATTAGAAAACAATAAAAATACGGGAAAAAAAACAGCTGTCAAAGAACGATAAAAGAGAAGTAACAAATTTAAAGACGTAAAATACGAAAGTTTAACTGAATTCAATCTTCCTCGTACGGCTACTGCCCTGAAGCAAATACCTCCAGATGCTAAGACCGAAGGAAAAAACCCGAAGTTTCATACTGGAATCGCAACCACATAAATTACGAAATGTGTGTTCACTATCAAGTCTTTTGTTGAAACCACTGACAGACCTTCCGATGATGTACACCCAACAGATGAACTTTACAACAAACACAGTGAAGCAGAACTCCGAAATTTGTAGCAGCCAAATATATATTTCTACCGCACTGCCTTTGCACAGTTATGGCGTTTTTTGATCCCGCCAGAAAAGATACCAAACTTGGCCAAATTCCAAGAAAATGGACATTTCTAAAAATTATTCTTAGCCGCTGTGAAATTCCTATCTTTTTAAGGATGCATTCTTTAACTTTCTACCTTTTGTCGATAACGGGTGCTGCTCAGATGTTGTAGATACTCTTCGTAAAATTTGTAGTTTCAGATTCCTCTGGAACTCAGAAAAATGGTAAAAAAAACTTGGTTTTTGGAATTGCGATCGAGAAGGCTGTGGGAGTATCAGTGACCACGAAACAAACAAATGTTCCTCTGGGAATAGTGTGATCCAGAAGCTGTTTGTTTTTCAAAATCTGTTGAAAGTTTGTTTTTGATTTGCAATTTTTTTTTTTTTGGAAAATCGACGTAATAATTTTTTATATAACTATCTGCATTCAACTTGTATTTATCATTTAGGTTAAAATAATCATTAAACAGACTGTATAGCTCACCGCATAATACTTTCAAACGTGAAAAAGCTGTGAAAGAATTAATTGTCAGATCGCATTGCTTTATTTTATATATTTGGTTCATCTTAATATAGGCTTTTGGACAAAAACTGTCCTTCTTTCTGGGACAGACTTAAATTAGGCCCAAGAACTGCATTTTTAATGAAGTTACGCGCCTCAAAATTGGATGAAATTAGGTCGTAGCGCATTAGCGTTATGGCCGAACTTTGTACTTGGTTTTAATTTTTATTCTGCATAACAACGTGTCACTTATCATTAAATAATTGCGTTATATTATTTAATTTTACATATTCACCTTAAACTAAACGTCTATATAAAAGTTACGGAAAAAAAGATCATTACATTAAAAAGCAGATAATTTACAAGACTTTGGGTTGTAAATTGGAGACTTGGAATAACAAGTTATGGGATAAATAAAAAAGAAGTATATCCGTAAAAGCGTTACATATGCTGTTTTCATATTCACTTCATTAAACAACAGGTTCATTGGCTTCGGCCATACACATCAAAAACTGCTTCTTATGAAACACCGTAGTCGTAGATGGCTGCTAGCAAGAGTTTTCATTATCGCGATTGTAAGAACTGTTTTTTACATTCATTTGCAGGCGTGATGAAGTATATAATTTAGTTGGTTCGTTTCATTTTTGACTCCACAAATTGAATCTCAATGGATTTTCTACCCATAATCTTGCTTTTTGTTTATATTATTTTTTACGTCTATTCTTTAGGCGACTCTGGCTCAATAATTTATAGCTGATTAGGGTGGAACTTCATTGTTTTTAGTATCAAATTCTTTATTAAGAGTTACTTTTTAATTTCAAACATTTCACTTTCTCAATAGCTGAAATAAGTTTGGTAGATCATTCTTCATTGTTTACTTCTGCATTCGTTTTACTTTAGCCTAAGTGCAGTTAAGCTCGAAGACCGCTTGGGACGGTTTCAGACGGTTTGATCCACCAAAAAAGAACTTGTGGAGTCTTACCACTGATGGTTGTGATATTAATGAAATTGATCTATTGAGGAAAAGAACTTAGGGTGAACAACTAAAGGTTTTTTAGGTATAATCCAATTCAAAAACTAGTAAGTGGACCAATAGCTAAGTGTTGACAAATCTGTCGCTTCTTTCGTCGGGAGAGCATTACTGGAGTGGGGAATTCTATTTTGCTCAACATTCTAGAAATGAATTTTTTTTCAACAGCTTAATAAAACTATTCAAGGAATTTCAAAATTTCTTAGCATTTTCAATGCGTTTTGTACTGTTTGTTCTGAATTCTTTTGTCATTCTTTTTTTGCTTCACTATTCTTCTCGTTATGGTTTCTCAATTAGATAAAAAATGATAAGTTTTATTTACAAATTTTCAGAAATAAATGATGAAACTTCGAGTGATTAAGAAACTTGTATTCTTTTCATTAAAGAATTCAGTGAATTAAACCAAAAAACTACAGGAAGGTGTAAACAAAGCGAATTTCCTGCGGTGTTTCTGAAGGTACATGGCGCAATTAGAGTCCGAAGGTTGTAAGACCATTAGACCGAAGTTTTTACAGTATAAGCTTCTGTAATAAGAACGTACGGTTTAGTACAACCAAATTAAGTAATTTGCTCTTAGTGGATTGCTGTAGATACACAATGGCGGGATAGGCGGAATAATTACTTACTGCAGAGATACTGTTTTATTCTTCCAGAACAGTTGTCAGTGTTTCAACATGGCCGAGAACGTTTGTTATTTTATTGCCAATTTCTTTCGCATCAAAGTAGATAATGTTAAAGCTGATAATAGGTTTTCAAAATGCACTTCTGCCTCTTTTGCGGTCGCTTAAAACAGTATTTCAAGGTATTTTCTATTCACTATCAATATTTCTTGGCGTTTTCAGTGTTGCTTCAAGTTGAGAGTTTCGACTTCCCAGAATTGAATGTGAGATTTTTTTAAATCAAAAAGCAATGATCACTCTATCTATTCTTGTGCAGGAAAAGTTAAATCACATTTCTCTCTGGGTCAGAAGAAGGCTACTCACTTTTTTTTGTGAAACTCTCCTGCATAGGAAGAATTCAAAACACCTAGGCATCTTCGTAGACAGCAGTTTAAAATGTATGTTTTTAAGAAAACCACTAGTCCATCTAGTGAAAATCTCTAGCGGGTGGAGGACAATACCGCGCCGCGGTACACGTTTAACTAAGGAGGCAACTTGTTGAAGTCTTTTAACTATCTGAGAAAAGTATGGTCTTTTTTAGCGTGGAATAATTATCACAAAGAGAAGAAGAGATAAATTCATACCCGAAAAAAAACTCGTGTTTTCTAGTGAGGACCTGCGATCGTTTAGACAATTAACAGTTCAGAATGGATTTGTTCAAGTTTTTAAAGGAGCTGCTGTCGCGTGATTAAGGAAACTTTTCTTATTATGATGCCAAGATGGTGGAGAGGACCGCTGTACGGTGGGTTTGGAGGAGTTCTGGGATGATAGAAGAGAAGGTGACGGGCGATGATTTAATAAATGCGGCTTGAGGATGGTTAGGAATGTTTGACTGCACTTTGGATATTTCATTTTGTAATAGTTCTCTGAATTTACTCGGGGCCAACACTTTGAACACAAGTGTTTTTTGAACAGTGAAGTAGCGTTGTTCTGATTTGAGGTTCTAGCCGCACACTTTTCTTTCAGCGGTTTGTGTGTTTTGAAACCTTCCTGACCAACTCACTCAATGATGGAAAGGGCGGTTGACGGAGAACGATTAAGTAACGGGAGACGGATTGAGGTAGACAAAAAAGCTCCTTCAATCGCGAGTTTGAAGGCTAGGAGAATGATCCTGTTGTTAAATGCAGGGTTTTGCATATTAGCTGTTTTGTTAACTGGTTTTATAAATTGAAAGCTAGTTTCGTCTACTTGTTCTTGCATTTTCAGTTCTTGCGGACGTGAAGTCCGCTAAACGTGGGACACCGTTTTACATATTGAAAAGGCTAGAAGTTTTTAAGATCCTCAGCACCAACTGGCAAAAACGTGTAACTGCTGGCGTACGTTGTTGAGTCGTACTGTTTTGCTTTTGAGATGATGCCTTTTTTTTGAAACTTACTGCCCTGGTTGTAATGACTGTGGCTAGTGGCTTCAACCTTTACAACAAACAAGAGAATTACATCTTTTGTAATTTTTTCAAAAAGTTCTATGCGTGCGTAAAATTAATGCTTTAAAATGAGATGAGCAAAAAATTCATCGAGTGCAAAGAAAGAATGATGGTGAGCGAACTATGAACACTGTGTACGTAAGGCTGGAAGCTAAAATTTGAGGAAAACACGCTTGAGACTTTTTGATATAATGTGAAATTAAGAAATATACCGAATGCGAGAGGGGTCCACGGGCTTTGCAAGCTGCAGTAAAGAGTTATTTTATTGCAGCGTCGTAGAATCTGAAAGATTTCTGGAAACGCTGCAGATTTATCACTCTTTTATATCGTACCCTTTTTGAGCAGGTTTTCAAAAGCAGGTGGGTCTGCATACTAGTCAAGACTGTGAATCTTTCAAGATGGGTTCACCGCCGTAATTGCTATTACTGAAGTGTGCTCATGAAAAATACTTACCGTTGGATTTGCCAGTGTAATTCCTATAAGAATTATGACTGGTCAGAACTGCTTGTACAATTGAGAAGTGTTCCAACAACTCTGTGGTTTCTTGTCCGAAACATCTTTGGCCACAAGCAGTATGGTCGTGGCCAACGATCTGCTCCTCGAGGGACGCTCTTGGAGGGTAGACGGTTGGTCACGGATACGTACCTGACTTTAAATAACGAGAACGAGGTTCGAGTGGAATTTTTTTGGTCAGGATAGTTCAAGATCTATTTCTCCAAGGTGATTTCTCCTTGTTTTTCAGTTCGTTTTGGTTTTCTATTTAACCCTTTATAAGGCGTGCCCTTTGGCAGCTTACAGGGAACAAGTTTTTGAGCTTAAAATAGTTCTTTTATTCTTTGTATCATACCTTTTTATGACGCTCTGTCAATTAAGGGGTGGATTCTAACCAGCCATCCTTTTCTTCTTACAAATTTACTGTGTTAATTCACATAGTTTTAGTTAAGATTGCCGACCTGTGTCCAACGTCTCTTCTCTCATATCGTAAAGTTTTACGGGTTAATAAAGAGGGTACACGCTAGAATAAGTGTTACGGCAAAACAACCAAACGTTTGGTAAGCAATATCGATTAGTTCTCTTAAACGCATTGGTGCTATGAGCGTCGGCGACTGCGATTGTTTACAGTGGTTAGAAACAGAAATAAAGTCTCCATAGAGACATATATAAAGGAGACGACATCTCCTCAGTTGGGACTGGTGCTGGTAGTCGCGACAGTCGTCTCTCATATAGGGAGCTCAAGGATCCAGCAGTTGACTGCAAGATAAGGTCAAAAATTTTTGTTTCTAATTTTCATCGGTTTGACTTTGCACTTAAGGGGAGAAAACTGAAGCGAGCTTGTAAAACTCGCTGTGCTTAAAATGTATCTTAGGCTTTGCAATAAATATCAAAAAGTGCTCGGTAAAAATGCATATACAAAAATATCCACTTCCTATTCATCTTAGAAAGAGTAACTGTGTGGAAAAAAGTGCATAATAAGTACGGGGAAGCTTTGACTCACTTCCGCTTTTCGGTTATCTTTAGCGGAGGCCAAAAGTAAACCTGTGGTTTCAGGTCTAGCATTGGACAAAGTGATCTTGTTACCCATACGGTTCAGTGAGGTGTTGTTCCACTTTTAGAAAGAGGGTGTTACGTTGCTCCTGAATACAAAATGAAAGATTCGATGGCAATTGCATACCCAAAAAAAACGATATAAGAGCAGAACGGCAGTACAGTTATTTCCCCGTAGAGAAACTGGAAAAGTCCATTCAAAAATGACAGCGCAAGGGCCCTGTATTTGAAGCACAGCCTACTTTTGAGGGAAAACTACTGGTGGATAGAGGAAGCAAGGATCCAAGAGAGTGGTAAACTGAGGAGAGCTTCTAACGTTTATGAATGTACGCTGAGCCTCATCTTCTTGGTTTCTGGTGTAATATACTTATGTAAAATTCTACTCTTTAAACTTCATGATTAGTTTCGTTAAAAGGAAGCGAAGAGGTCAAAGGCAAAAGGGATCGGATAATGGTACAGCTAATGCACTAAAATCGAGGAGAACCTGATTGCGACAAAATGCAAACGATCGCTGATTGAACGATTATTTTAGAACATTCTACAACTTCATGTAATTAATAAAGTTGTACTGTACAAAGCTAAAGTTATGCCGTAAACAATGAGATTGCACTATGTTAAGCTGAAGCTGTACTGAAAACAATGGATGGTCGACGATAAGCAAGCTCAAGTTATGCCAAATGTTCAAGAAGAAGGGATCATATAGAGTCGTCTAGCACAGAAGTTTTGCGATGACTTTCGTGAGATTGGGAAAATAAATCATCTTGTGTATCTTTAATTTGGTTAAATATTCTCAGTAGCACTTTGACCATGAATAATCAGTGTTTATCATTTTGCAGCTACTATAAGAAAATCTGCTGGAAACTGATTTACCATGCAAGTTGTAAAAGGTATTTGGAATTGTAATCATTTTGCTTCTGATTAACACTGTTAGAATAGAATTTTGTTGTGTCATTCAAGTCTGTTGTGTATATCTCTCTCCTTAGCTGGTTTACTATAAAACTCAGTCTTAACAAGCCTTTACTCGCTGCAACTCTCAACAGAATATTATCCACGCAGCAGGCATAGCTTCCGTTATTAAAAAAAGTTTATAATTCTACTAAGCCGAAAGACAGTTTAATTTTGCTGTACGGTTAGTACATACCTTGGCGTCACAAAGAAGCCCAATAACCTATTGCATTACATGATTATTTGCTGGTTTAAAGACTTTCCTGAAGTTTTTGCGTTTACCTATTCTGAAGAACTACAGCAAATATTTTAATGGTAAATTTTTGTTGAGAGGAAAATGGGCAAGAATTTTAATTCTACTTGCTCACAGAGGACTGTGAAGTTCAAAGGTGGATCGTTTGTGATTTGGATAGCCAGAAGCTGGCACCGTTCAAAGGCAGTTCTACAGACCACGAAGATTCTTAATTCTTGTAAGTCTATCCACATCTTAAGTGACGCTTCCCTGCCAAGTGCAGCGATATACTTTGAGAATTGGATATTGTAG